AAAAAAAAAAAAAAGAAACTGCAGCTTTATGAAACAAAACACAGCAAGTCCTCCAATAAATTCATTTAGTTCAACATCTCCTTGTAACATTGTGAGGAAAAAAACTGGTTTCATTACATATCGTTTGACTTAGTTACAGATTCTAAGAACTTACTGGACATTAAATGAGGATTGACTATACTTTCATTTTTCTTCTCAATTAACTGTGTTTTCTGGTATTTTTCAAAAGTATCAGACACAAACAAAACAAAAAACAAACATAAAACCCCAACAAACCAATCAATACTCCCCAGGAGTCTGTGCTTAGTACCAAGTCCCAAAGAGAAAGCCTATGATGGGACTTCTCTTTTCTAAGACTGACAACTCTGTACCATACTGATGGGCTCCCCCTGCCCTCGAAGCCAAGGAGGATGGACGGGCAGACCTTACTAACCGGGCAGACCTCAGGAGGGTCAGGGCCTCCAGCGCCTGGCCTGCCAGGAGGCAGTCTTGGATCCGTACCATGGCTTCTGCCCGCTGCTCCTCCACTGGTACCTCTGAGGCCGCATCAAAGGGAACCATGGAGACTGTGCTGAGCTCAGAAGCCTAGGGATGGATAAGGCTATGGCAGCAAAACCAAGAAACCCAGATTGTCTGCCCATAGCCCTATCCTTGAGAAAGATCAGGTTTCCATAACCACTTACCTGGGCATAGCACTGTAGCTGTTCAGCCAGGGCTGGCCACACAGCCTCCAGTTCTCTTGAGTTATAGGGGACATTACCAGAAGCAATGGCCTGGTCAAGGACCTTCTTCTTCTTCTTTCTCTTCTTTCGTTTGCTCTATGAGGAAAGAACTGTATTAGGACAGCAAGAAAGTTAAGGAGGCCTTTTCCTCATCGATGTCTTCTCTATTAAAAAACTAATTAATTAGCTGGACATTCACAGAGTGTCCATTATGTGATACTCATTGGCAATGGAAAGCAATAGTGGAAAGTGCATTTCATGGCCGGTAAGGAGCTTGTACTTGAGTGAGGGAGAAAGGTAAACAAACCAGTAATTACATTACAGTGTAGATAAGTATACATTTCCTGCAGGAAGCCACAGCTAAAATACAGCAAAAAATTTCAGAAAATATTTTTTTGGATGCCATGGCACAACTCAGCATCTGACCCAAAAGAAGTGCTATTTTAGAAGTCCACAGAATGAACAGAGGCTGAAGACCAAATAAGACACATGAAAAGGCTATAGAGGCTCGGTGCCTGGGCTGAAGTGGCTAAGGTGCCAGCCACATACACCTGAGCTGGTGAGTTCAAATCCAGCCTGAGCCCGCCAAACGACGACGGCTGCAACTAAAAAACAGCCAGGCTTGGCGCTTGTGG